ATACAGACACACTGACTGGACACTCCAGTACATTAACACTGCACTGAGAGAGAGGGGTTAATACAGACACAGACTGGACACTACAGTACAGACTCTCTCATCCAGACACAAAAGTCACACAGCCAGGCTGATTCATCAAGAAACACAGAGCTGGGGCTTACCTGGGGTGGAATATAGGGATACGCAGAGCTGGGGCTTTCTGAGATACGAGGTGGAATACTGGGATAACAACAGCTGGGGTTTACCAAGACCTGAGGTGAAATATTGGGGTACACAGAACTGGAGCTTTCCAGGGGCTGATGTGGAATACTGGAGTAAGGACAGGTGGGATCTGTCAACATCTGAGGTGAAATATCAGGGTACACAGAGCTGAGGCTTTCTGAGGTCTGTGGAGAAATCTTAGGGTACACAGAGCTTGGCCCTTTTGATGCCTGAGCTTGAATACTGGGATAGACAGAACTGAGGACCAGCTCCCCCCCACTGGTCATTTTCTTCTGCAGCCTCTTTTCTCTCATCCTGCGGTTCTGAAACCAGGACTTAACCTGCAAACACACACACAGAGGGTGATAGGGTGCTCTGTACTGGTCTGTCACACAGACACACAGACAGGGTGCCCTGTACTGGTCTATCACACACAGACACAGACAGGGGGTGACGGGGTGCCCTGTACTGGTCTATCACACACAAACAGACAGACAGGAGGTGACAGGGTGTGACAGACCAGTACAGAGCACCCCGTCACCCCCTGTCTGTGTCTATGTGTGACAGACCAGTACAGAGCACATAGACACACAGACAGGGTGCCCTGTACTGGTCTATCACACACAGACACAGACAGGGGGTGACGGGGTGCTCTGTACTGGTCTCACACATACACACAGACAGGAGGTGACAGGGTGCCCTGTACTGGTCTCACACATACACACAGACAGGAGGTGACAGGGTGCCCTGTACTGGTCTGTTACAGACAGACACAGACAGGGGGTGACGGGGTGCTATGTACTGGTCTCACACACATACACACAGACAGACAGGGTGCTCTGTACTGGTCTCACACACATACACACAGACAGACGGAGGGTGACAGGGTGCTCTGTACTGGGGGATGGAGTGACTCCGTTACCTGTTTGTAAGACAGTCCGATCTTGTCAGCCAGGCTCTTCATCTCTGCTGGAGTGAGGTACATCTTGATCATGTAGCACTCGCACAGCACCATGACCTGTCTCTCCGAGTAGGCCATGCGGAGTCTGTGGGAGCGTTTCCCGGCCGCCAGAGCCGGGCCTGGCTCCAGCAGAGCCCCCTGCTCCCCTACACCTTCAGCCTGGCTGCTGGACGCGGGCTCAGCCCAGGCAATCTCAGCCGGGCTGCAGGGTGCGGGCTCGGCGCAGGCAGTCTCAGCCGGGCTGCAGGGTGCGGGCTCGGCGCAGGCAGTCTCAGCCGGGCTGCAGGGCGCAGGAGGGGGCCTCAGGGCGTAGCTCTCGTCGGTGCTGGGCGAGCTCCAGGAGTCTGGGACACAGAGAGTGGAGGAGAGGGTCAGGGTCAGTGTCCACACGGAGCCTGCAGGGACCCTCTCCCCTGTCCCAGGGGGGCCTTGGACCAACTAGTCCAGGGGTCTTCAGCCCCATTCCTGGGGAGACCCATAATAAACAGCTGGATCAGGGATCCCCAGGACACATAAAAGCAATGTAAATAGACACACAATCGTCTAAAGTGACGGATTCATTCCAACTGGAGACAAAGAGTTATCGGCCCTCTCTCTGTTCCCACTGAGTTCTCTTACTATCCTACTACATACTTTTTGTCAAATTGCCCGTCTCCTCTCTGTCCCCCAAGCCCACCTACGCTCTGGGGGTGACAGGGCCTTCTCCTGCTGCGCTGCAGAGCTCTGGAACTGTCTCCCCAGGGGTATCGGAGAGTCACCTTCCCTAAACCCCTTCAAATCCAGACTCAAAACCTTCTTCTTCCTCCTGCTGTATTCCAAACCCTTATTGTGATCGTGTAGTCCTGCTGTCTGTCTCTCTTCTCATTGTGCGTTTCTGACTGTAAAGCGCTTTGAGAAACCACTTCTCCAAGATCGAAATGAAAGTTTTACATTTGGGATCGTTGTGCTTCTCCCTGCGGGCACGGGGGGGGAGGGGGTTGGGCGCCAGACTCCACACTGTCCGCATCAAGGAGTGGCGGCAGCCGAGCCTCCGCGTAACGAAAAGAGACGAAGAAGACAGGGAAAAACAGGAAAAGAGAGAGAGATGGACGCATCGCCACCTGATCCCCCCGAGGACGGCGTGAGGTACCGCGGCGTGGAAAACGCACGCACCCCGTGTCCAGCAGGAGGACAGGCGCTGCAGGTGGGTGAATCCACGAACTGACCCACACAGCGAGACAGAAAGCTATCGCTGCGCTGTGGAGATGCGGGATTGCTTCCCGATAAAACCGGTTTAATCGGCCGCGCACGGTCCAGTTAGTTCGGTTTCCCTCAAAAGACTGACGCCGACCTGCAAACTAGAGGCCGCAGCGCTTTTCACACGCACAGCTACATCGTGCGACTTTTACGCGAGAATCCGGCGCTTTCAAATACAAAACCAACTCGGTCAAGAAAGACACGCAGCCGGTGAAGGCGGCAGAGAAAGTCTGAGAGAAACGCGTCTCCCTGCTTTTCCACGCCGCCGGCAGTGCGGATAAACAACCGTGTCTCTGGGAACCGCCGGAGACCCAGACTCGGAAAACACGCGTGTACAGAAACACTCAGATGTAAATAAAAAGTGACAATACGGGATATTAGAGAGAAAGGGCTCGCCGGGCACTCACCGGGGGTGCTGGGCTCCGTCTCGCTGGAGGAGTCGCTCGGGGATCCAGCCAGCGGGACCCCGGGAACACGGGTGGCGTCCTGAGGCAGGGCATTCTGGGGTGCCGTCGGCGGGACGTCGAGGAAGAGGCCGTCCGAGCCGGAGGGGGTGAAGCCGGTGCCGCTCCAGCCCAAGGACGGGTGATTCTGGACGGGCGGCGGCGGGTAGGTCATGCCGTAAGCGTAGGTGTGATAGGCGGAGCTGTAGTTCGGAAGCGAGTTCCATTCCTCCATTTCTCCCGGTTTAGAAGCGTTACAAAATACGTTTTTTTTTAATTTAAAGAAAAACGCGTTCTTTCCACCCCACCACCACCACTCCTCAGAAAGAACTGATGCCAAATCCTTCTTCTTGAACCGCCTCTCCCCGCCGGTCTTCCCAGAAAGCAGAGACGGGCGGCGAGCGTCCGCGGTTTCCAACTGCCGGGGCCCTGCAGACGCCAAGTGTCAGTTCGTCCTCGCCGCTCGACTCCGGGTTCGTTCCGACAGCACTGCGGTGTCCGGCGGCGCCGCGGGTGTTTAAGGGCCGAGGCGGCGTGCGGGGCCTGCGGGGGAGGGGGGGTTGTCTGTGTGCGCGTTACCTGTCATCATTTTGGATTTGACCGAGGGTGGTAGATGACCACACCTCCGAACCACACCCACACTTGCGCCACGGCGTCGCTGGGTCCCTGCATCGAGCCTCAGTCAGATTAAAGAGCTCTGAATTGGTTCAGAAATTCGTGTCGCTTGGCACCATTTAGTTTGAAGATGTGGAAAAGAGGTTGAAAGAAATATTGTTGCTTGTAAAAGCAAACTCCAGTTTGAAGCATAGGTATTAATACAAATAGAGCAGAATCAACAATGACTTACAGAAATTTTATTAAGCAAAGTGTGTTATCGAACGCCTTTCTTGTTATCAGGTGCCTTTCAAATGGGCAGTGTTTCACCGTTTCACAGCCTGGGGGTCACACAGTAGTATCCCTGCACAGAGACATAACTGGGGCTCACAGTCTTAGTGTGGGACACTCCCTTCAGACTAAAGAGACTCAGTTCCTCCAGGCTGTCAGTGTGGGACACTCCCTTCATACAAAAGAGACTCAATTATTCCTGACTGTCAGTGTGGGGAACCCACTTCAGACTAAAGATAAACTAAAGTTTTCTGACCCATCTAATTAGGTATCATCTGCAGAACTGACTAGTTCACCTGTGAACCTGACTAGTTCACCAGCTCACTAGTTTGCAGTTGACTCAAGTTGCTGGTGTGTAGGGTCTGAACAGTGGGAATGTTTCCCGCTGTTCTCAGACAGGGAGTCCTGCGTTGGGTAGATACTGGGGGCTCTGCTCTGCAGAATCGGGGGTGACGACGGGGGAATAATCTCAGCTGGACGTGCTGTGGGTGAGACCGGCTGCCCTGGAGCCTCTCAGTGCTGATGTCTGACCAGGCCTGTATTTTCTGCAATGATAATCGTGACGTATTTTACATGGTGAATGTGAAATAATGTTTTTGTGTAAATGTCCTGTTAATTGTAGATATATCCCTGTGTGAATTTACGCACATAGTTTTAAAATCTAGTTTTTTTGTTGTTTTAATACAGTTTGTGAATCTAATGTTGACGTAAATATGTTGCAGGTGAAATGCAAGTTATATTGTAGTTGAACTGGGTTAAATAAACATGTACTGTGCTCACAGGACTGGAGAGGGTCCGCGTCTGCATCCCCAGAGGAAAAACAAACAGACAGAGAGCGCGCGTATCAGGGCAGCAGGGTGGGGAGATCGGCCCGCGGGTCCGCGGGGCGGGAGGCTGGGAATCTAAAGGACAGCTGGAGGAAAGGAGGAGAGATTACGGGGACCAGAGAGGAAGGGGAGGGGCGATACCGGATTGGGGTTGGGAAAACATGTGGAGGGGCTGCAACACCGTCCAAGGGCTGCAACGAGAGGAAACCGGGGATCTGCGGATCGCAGGGAAGAGGGCAGCGAGCTTCCCGATCGTCAGAGGTTGTGAGTAAACCCGCCGGCTCACAGCTGGCAGCGCTGGACACGGGAGGCATATTATTTTCCCTGGACCCCTTGATTTGTGTGAGTAGGGACTCAAATCTGTTTTACTGTATTAATAATAATAATAATAATAATAATAATAATAAACTTTATTTTATATAGCGCCTTTAAAGGCGGCTTCTCACAGTGCTTTATAGAGTGGATTATCACGGACGAGCGTGTTTTTTTGGTCTGACTTGACTTTCACTGTCCAGTATTAACAAAACACGTTTCTTTGGAACAAAGATAGTTTGTGACATAACACAAGTTGGGGACGTCAGCCTTTCTTCCCTCCACAAGCGCACCCACAAATTTTGTTTTGGTTTGGTTTAAGAGACTGAGTGCATTCCTTTATGGTAAATGTTTGTTTTTTTTGGGGGGGGGGGTCTCTAATGGTTATTTATATATGTTGTTGGGTTTGGGAACTTGCACAGTGTAACGTGGTCCATACGTGTTTTTGAAGTTTGTATTACAGAAAGTAAGGAGGTTGTTTGTTGATTTGTAATATACCGCACAGTAGAGGGTAAAACTGGGCGCACACACCTGAGGTCGGGTGGAGTCATCTTGTGATCAGTGGTAGAATTACGGTTGAAATTCCTGAGAAGCCTGATACGGTTACAGACTGATTCATAGGCTGTTGCAGGTGGAGGCACTGCCAAATTAAAGTTTCATTTTTTTGTGCGATTGACTGAGGTGGACCACAGCATCTGCCACATTAAGAGCCATGTATTGTACCATGTATTATATACTATTATTATATTATGTACTGTCTGAATTTAATTTTATACCTCCGGTTATGGTTACATGAATATTCTGCAACACTGTAATTCATTGATCACCTCAATGAAGTGCTTTCAATCTGACAGGTGGAGAGAGAGTGCCCCCTACTGGTGCTTTCCAGGACCAGCTTTAACATTCAGAGTTCTGATGTGACCTGGCTAAGGAGAAAAGCAGCTCAATTAATAATTTTTAATTAAATCTCAAACAATAAAGTTTAAAAAATAAAATGGGAAAAATAATGTTGATTATCCAAACCTGTACGTTTCCACTTCTATGTGAGACCCACTGGAAGCATCGTTTTCAGATTAAAAACAATTTGAATGGAAAGACTGTCTGATTAATGATTAAAGACATGTCTCTGTGCGCTCCCCTGCCTGTCTGTCTGCCCTCTGCAGAAACAGGGGGCACTGTGCAACAGGTTGGGGGCTAGTCAAACTGTCTTGGGAGCTCTGTGTTCTTGGAATTTTGGTGGGCTTTCCTCTCTCTTCAGTACAGTCCTGTTACAATAAGAGCTACAGTCCAGTACAGGAGAACAGTCTGTTACAATAGGAGCTACAGTCCCAGTACAGGAGAACAGTCCTGTTACAATAAGAGCTACAGT